GATAGTATTAATAAATTACCGCTCTCGGCAATTGATGCGGTTTAAGTAGCTCGCCGTATATTCCGATAGTTTTCGCCGCGTGCGATAATAACCGTCCGTGATAAACTATTGTTAAATTTCAATATAACGTAACACAGAAACTAGGAATATTTGAAATGTTCTCGGTATATGTAAATAGAACACACGCGCAGTGTGTTGATAATCATGCGCGTATCTTTCAATTAACAGAGAGATTACGAATGTAATTCTCTGACAGAAATGCAATGTAAACAATATGTGTGTCGCGTTTCATTTCACAAACTAAATAACTTGTTAATCTTAAATGTGTACATTGTATGTACACTTGTGAAATAATCGACGCTCATATTTCCGTTCTAAGGAAGGAAGGTAATGCGTTAGACATTTCGCGTTCGATATTTTTCTTCCCCGGAATTTATATATCGTTCTATGCTAATCGACGTCACATACAAGTTGTGGAAACTGTAAATGACAGGTGAATGTGACTAAAAAGTTATAAGCTCTTTAAAAACTTAACCGAGCGGAATGTTCCGCGGGAGCTGTTCGAAAATTGAAAAACGTTAACGTGCGACGTTAATGCAGTTCCGCTGTGTTCGACATTACAGTACGCTTTAGCTCAGGCACACGAACAACGGACGTTGTGTTTCATTCCGTCCGACAAGCTCCTTTTCAAAACACCGCAATTACGTCGGGTTGTCGTTGGTATGAAATTTCAGTACGACAAAATTAGCTGTAATATTTCCCAAAAAATCGCGCGCGAATAAAAATGCAGAGAATCATCCAGCCAATCTATTTCGGTCTGGGTGAAAAAGAGCGCCGGCGTATATTGCGTATAAATTATTAAAATCGAGTCAAAATATTAAACAATGACGGATCGGAAAGAAATGCTTTTGCTAGGCATATTTTATTCAGGAGCGCATCTACGATGCAACAACATACCGCAGCGAATAAATCCACGAATTTGTACAAGTGGCGAGTAATACCGCACGGTATATCCGCGAAAACATTTCAATTATTATAAATACATTTTTTATCTGTTCCCCGAGCGCCGAATGTTACCGGATAATATTCATTCAGGCTGTGGGAACGTTCTAAATATTTTGTATCTGATGTAATATTCGTGCGGCATTGTGGTATGGATTATAATTTGCGTCGATAAAGTTTTTGTAAATTTAATATGTTTCCTAATGCATTGAATTGAGTAGTTAATGAACGTATTCATATATCATATGCACAAAAACAAACACTTAAGTTCCTTTCCACTTTAGCGCGTGAAAGATTTACTTCACGTTACATTAAATATTATTCAATCGGGTTTATAATTGATATCGTGCAGACAAGTGCCAAAGAGATGTAAAGCGAATTTTATATTCATTTATTTGCTGGCAATGTATTGAAGCGCCGACACGACTCGATCAAAATCGATAATATTTATTCGTTATTAAAAGCAACGCAGCTGCCGTACTTAGAACTTTTAGATTAAGCTAGAAAATAATTTGAATAAAGTTTAAAATAATTTAATATAAGCTATAATTCAAATAGACTTGCGCAAAAAGAACAATTTCGCTGAAATATTTACAAGTTTAGCTAGATACGGACCTGAAAATAATTTTGGCTCATTAAAATAATTACGTAAGAATTTCAAGCATGAACAGTGAGCACCCTGCGAAGTTTCGAGCAACTATTAATTTGAATGCCCTACATAATTATTTTGACGGTTCAATAAAATTATTTTCGAATCTAGTTACATTTTCAGATATTTCAGCAATGTACCGTTCTTTCCGTGTGGATTTGTAAAAGTAGTTTCTAAAATGCAGTTGAGCCGAGTGTAAAAACGCGAAATGATTTTAATCTTGCAGCAATGCTGATATACATTAATTGCTACAATTTTTCCTATACCATTTAAGATAAATACGATAACGTATATTTTTCACACGTAACCTTATTTTTTACAAAAAATTTAACATTAATCGTTTAAACCAAGGTGTTAAGTCCACAGTGTTAATTTCACACTCGTAGTATTAAATCTATCCTATCTTGGTGTTTATACCAACAGGTGAGAATGATATAAACACCGACACGGTATTTAATGTCCATGATATTAAATTTAACACCTATATTTTTTAGAATACGACTATAGTTTTATTTTGTTGTATATTGTATTTTTATTCTGTTATACATCTTACACTATTACAGCGACTGAAATCGATTAATTTTTTATTTTTTTTTTTTAGGTACTCAATTCTCTATAGTGTGTATGCGATTGTACTGTCTATTATAAATGTATTAATATAAAAAGTCGGAGGTTCTTAGATCTTTTCTTACATTCTTTCATCTGAATAAGAAAAGACTTGAAATCATGCGCGCAAGCTGCAATTTTTGAACGCGTTTGTACGTACATATCTGAATATATTCGGTTTAAGTACTTATAGTCGCCTAGGCCGATTTGCGTCGTTAGGTGACTCTATGTGGGTCAAATTGGAGCGGACCGCCGGCCGCAAAGTCCGAAGCCTACACCAGTTCTCTCTCTACCTCTCTCTCTTCCCTTTGATATTATCGATTCAGACTGCACGGTGCGCTCCCGGCTGCTACCGCTGCTGCACGACAGCCGTTTGCGTACATGCTTCCCGCGATATGACAAACAGCATGACGCAAGCGACGCCTGCAACGTCGCCGATATAATGCACATGTGTCGTTGATACGGCACGAAACGTCAAGACGTGTTTTCGAACGTCGCTATAACGATCGTAGTAGACGCAAGAGAGGTAAAGCAAAGGCGAAGGGTGCGAATATTGGCCGAGACCGAGGGAAATGCCAGCGTCGTACGTCCTTTCGATATAGAATGCTCTAAGAAACGACGTATATCGCAAGCTAAAATACGATACCCACACACATATATATATATATATATATGTGTGTATATATACGTATATACATATATGTGAATTTAGATCGATGAAAATTAATTTAATTAAAAAAAGAAATCCTATATTCGATCAAAGCAGATCTCAGTGCTCGCTCAATATTTTCTATATGAAATTATATATATATCCGATTCTGTGCAACTGCGCGCCGAAATATTTTTCGGTCTTTAAACGCATTTATGAACAGAACCAGAATATCACTTATTAAATTGACAAGCAATTTAATAATTTTTTTTTTATACTAATAAGCATTTTTTATACGAATATTAATTATAAGGTAATGATAAATTAAAAAGAATTTAAATCTGCAAATATAATTTTATTGCGAAAAAATGCATGCTTGAATTATTACGTGATGAAGAAAATTTCGTTATTCAATTAATACGTATCACTTTTGAGACATTTTAAATCGAGCTATTGGCGGAACTCGTATGAAGTTGAAGGCATTAATCCTAAAACACACATCTTCTGAAAAATTCTGAAAACATCATAGGTGTCTGGAAGATCCACTGTAACTTTAATAGGCTGTAACTTCGTTTGAGGTTAATATTTTTAGACTCCCTTTTTGATTTTGAAGCTCTGAGATTTAGGTATATACCTACAATTCCAGAAAGTGTTATGTATTGTCAAGTTATGAAATAAAACTTTCCTTTGTCCTTCCTTTATGTACGGGGCAAGCAAAATTTTGATTGGGTCTGAGAGACCTATTGTGTGTGTGTTTTAGGATTAATCCTCGGAGAGAATGCTTCAAACAATGCACATGAATGCGAGATAATTATTTTTCTAACGCGAAGGGGAGACATATATAAAGTACATGTGTCTCGAAAGGTATGAACTTTTGCTGGAAGTGTGACGAAAACACGCGTTTTCTCGATGTGCAGAAAATACGTTGTCTCAGATCCCAGCGGAGCGTGAGAGCTTATATTAGATACCAGACGCGACGACACAGTGCATTCTCGCGGATGTCCCGGTAAGAGGAAACGACAAGAGAGCAGGGTCGACTGGCAAAAGAGAGAAATATTCTAACCATCAACGACATCGGAAGCCATTACGCGCATCGAACAACGAACATGCGCAACAAAACTGCTCGCTGCGCCTGTCGACTCGATGAAATCATCCGCCGTTAAAGTGCACGACCTAGTCCACGAACAGAGATCTTCGTTGCATCATAGAGGCGAATGAAAAGGCAAGAAAAAAGAACTCGCCTCGGGGAACGCGATACGCTGAATCAAGATTTCTAATTCCGTTGTGGCTTTAAGCCCCGATTTTTAGGTAAATTCGTGGAAATGTTCGTGAGATGCAATTGCATAAAAGAAACTTGGTGGTCTACCACACACGATGTTAATCCGATCAGTTGAAAAAAAACCGGTATTCTAATTTTCCTCGAATTTACGAGCATATCGCATGCTGTCAAAATCGATTTTTCAAATTCACATTTGCTCTGTTAATCCTCTCAATGGACTTTACCATTTTATGACCATTTTTCGGCTTCATGGAAACGATTACAGAGAATTTCGTTTGACTAATAATGCAATGTTATGTATCCAGTTCGATTTGTGTATATGCAATAGGAAAAAAGACAATTTAAAAAATTTATGATTTTATCGAAATAATAATATTGTATAATAATTATCGGAATTATAATTATATTTATATTTAAAGAAAAAACAATTTTCCGAATGTATAATTTTATTAAAATTCTATATTATTTTGATAAAATTATATTCGGAAAATTGTGTTTTCTTTTTAAATATAAATACAATTGTCATATGATAATTTTTTTATTGGTTTTATTTCCACTTTTTTATATTGATTATAATTATTATATTTTTAATATAAATATTATTATATGTGTAACGAAATGTGAGAGATAATTATTTATTGTTAACGTTCTTCTTGCAATATTTGAAATACTTACATATCATAAAATGTCTGTACATCAAGAACGCGGAGTTGCATTGCGAACTTGTAAACGTCACATGCATCGCTTATGCATTTTTCCGAGATCTAGCACAAGTATTGTGTACGGATGGATTTTTTCCGTTACATAAGGAAATAATGGAGACCAGCGTATACGCTTTCAGGACTGACATAGAAGTGTATAGAACAGAGGCGTTTTTATCGAGCGGCCAATGTAATTGTAAAAAAATGTTATTTGTACTAGACTTGCTTCGTGGAGTCCGCAAACGAATGCTTTGCACTTTAGAAGTCTCGCGCAAATTTTGTTTCCGGTAAGAGGCATTCTGATAAAACTTCGCCGGCCGATATTTTCAACGCCGGATATCTCGTCGATCGCGGCTAGAAAAGAGGAAAGGTCCATCGGCGACACAGCGAAATGTCGAGGCGAGCACGAACTCCAGCGATGACGTTCCCTGAAATAGCTCCATGAATAGCCCGAGATTTTCCATCGTCACCGCTGCGTTCGCAAACGTTGAGAGAGAACAAGAGAAGAGCAAAGAGAAAATGCGTTAAATAAATGACGATTATTTAATTTCGTACAAAAGAATTGCTGGCACGCTTTGTAACGCAAACAACTCTCACGTGATGCTCCCTCAACGTTCCGAATTTTATCTTCGGTGTAGCACACTGAATTTTTACGGCCTTATTGCGGCGTATCTATGCGCGAATGCATCGAAGTTTTCGTATGGCTCCGTACAATATACACCCGGGAATGTTTTATCGAAGGTATAACTAAAAGCGCCTCTCAGCCTTTATTTCACGAAGCGGATGTAAAATGTCTGGCTCGTAATACGTGCAATAACAGCTGTTATTACATATGCTGCTGTAAAATCATTTAATGAGAGAGAATAAAAGCCGCGTAACTGCATAATATACGAAAAAAATTAATATCGTTTCATTTTGTTTCTTTTACATAAACGTCGGTATCGATGCGCCTATTCTTTAAATGTAACGCTATTGTTTAAACAGCGAATAAATTAATTCAAATTAATGAAGGTGTTTATCCTAATATCAAGCGCGGTTGCACATGTATTGGCGTGAACGGATAATAATAATAGGCTGATACTTATCGTATTACGCGGGCATTCACGAATCATCGAATTATATAATCATGGTGAAGCTCGCTTGGAAACGAAACAAATGCGATATGTAATTGCATACAAAGTGAAAAATTATTCTGATAGAATGAATTCATTTATATGCCGAGCGAGTAAATTGCATTTTTATCAATATGTGAACATATCGCATTTGACCGTGCGAGCAACATTTTTTATATCGTACGTGATACAGAATAACGACCTCGTGATCGTATACAAAAATCGCATTAATTTCGAGAAACAACTTTTAGAAAAATCTGACCGCATAAGTTTTAATTAAATATTTCAATCAACTTAATCAATCAACTTAAACTGTTATTGTCGTTGTTGGTACTTTTAACGCGTTACTGAGGAAAACAACTTTCACCACAAAATTACATGGAAAGAACGATTTTACTGAAATATCTAAAAATTTACCTAAATTGAGATCTGAAAATTTTGTTTGGACCATCAAAAATAATAATTATGTAGGATACTCGAACTGATTGCTAGAATGTTAAAAGCTTTTTGTCCACAATGCTTCACCGTTCTACATAATTATTTTAACAAAATTGTTTTCAGATCTGTACCTAGTTAAATGTTTAGTTTAGATACTTCAACAAAACTATCCTTTCCATGTAAAAAACAATGTTATTAACAATATCTTTATTTTTAGTATATGTGAGAAACACAATCAATATCAGAAATTTAAACGTCTATTACGGTCGAAGCTGGATCTTCGTTGCTTTAAATAATTCATCTTGAATTACTAATATATATTATATATGTACTCTTACATATATACCATATTGTAGTCTTTTTCCAACTGCGCGCCGAATTGTTTTTCCAGACTAAATAAACGCAATTAAAACTACTCTAGTAATCGCGAATTAAAATTGACAAGCAATTTTAATAATTTGATGGCCTCGGTGGCTTAGGACGCTCGTACGATTTACAAGAGATCCGGGTTCAAGTCCCGGCCGAGGTAATATTTTTCGCAATAAATTTATTAACAGTTTTAATACATTAACATCTTTATAATATATGATGCTTGATGGTAGCATCAAATTATTAAAATTGCTTATCAATTTTAATTCGCGATTACTAGAGTAGTTTTAATTGCGTTCATTTAGTCCGGAAAAACAATTCGGCGCGCAGTTGGAAAAAGGCTACAATATGGTATATATGCAAGTACATATATAATATATATTAGTAATTCAAGATTGAATTATTTAAAGCAACGAAGATCCAGCTTCGACCGTAATAGGCGTTTAAATTTCTAATGTTATTAACGTTGTTGATATTTTTAAATGTTACAAGTCGTCAACTGACGAAAGTAACTTTTGTAATGCTAACAAAAGAATTTAATATTTAAAATCACACGGAAAAAATAGTTCTGTTGAAGTATCTATCTAACTAAATATTGATCTGAAAATAATTTTGTTTGTACCATCAAAATAACTACTCATATTCAAACTAATTGCTAGAATATTAAAACTTTTTATAGCATTGTTATTAACGTGTCTTAAAAGCGTTCTGCAGAATTAATTCCAACAAAATTATCTTCAAATCAATATTTAATTCAGTTTTTAGGTATTTCAATCAAACTGTCTTCTCTCCGTGAAAATAGATTTTTTCGTTTCCTAATCGTATTTTTCGAAAATGCCTTTCGCCGTTAACTGCGTCTAACTATTTCCACGTTTCTGTGTTTAGTACCCATATCACACATCGTGGCACTGGTCGGAGATTCCGCCTATCTTCCCTGCGACATATCAACCACTCACGAGGGGGACTCCGTGCATCTTGTGCTCTGGTATCGCGAGGATCTTGGTACATCAGTTTACAGGTAAAGTGCAATCAATCCGTACACAGGCGAACGTGCGCACACGCCGGGCATACATAGGACACGCACGTATGTACAGCGATTTGCAAGCTACTGCTGCTACTGGTCGTAACAGGAACGGATTACAAACAGCCCGTCGGCACAATGCGAGATTGGTAGTCCGCTTTTATCCGAAAATTGTCTTCGAACTCGATTTTCCTCCTCGCTCGGCTCAAAGAATGCATATCGTGTTTGCGATCAGGAGTCACCGTTGAATATTGCATAAGTATCGATTTGTAGGGATTGTTAAAGAAAGGAAACGAAGCGTCGGGACATTGTCGAGAAACTGCGCAATTAGCATTTTCATGGGCGCGACGAATTAATTATATTGAAAATGTGATAAAAAATTGTGTCAGTGTTACTGTTGTTATATACCATTTATCATTGTTATCACTGTTGTCACATTAATACGACCGTATTCCATGAAAAGTCGCGCGGTTATATTAGTGTTTATATCCCTGATCAATTATGCGGTGTCGACTCGCGTTCTGGTAGAGACAGGGGAAGGTTCAGAATGACGCTTTTTTAATCGCTGTTTTGGATTCAGTCCAAAATAATATGGATTGGATTTCGCGGTTGTGTTATGTAACCCGTTACATCGTGATGCACATACTAATGACAGATAGTATCGCGATGTAATCGAAAATATATGTCTACGAAAAATGTTAAAAAAAAAAAAAAGAAAAATGAGAAAAAGTGAGAGAGAAGGAAAAGAAAAATTGCAGTGCAAATATTTTGCGCTTGCACATCGCGAATGCTTGCGCAGTTATTTGGGATATTGCAAACAGATTTAAATGTTTCCCATGATTTTGCATCAGATTTTAATTACACGTCACATATGCCGGCCGTCAGATCGCTTGCTGGCGATATGGCCGCGTTGCGCGGTTTTTCCGTGCTCACCAGGGAAAATGCGATGAACGTGTTCATAGATAACGAAATTTCGCGACAGTTTCATCGACGCGTAAACGCCGGCGCGACGTCTTAACTGAATTAATCCCAGTGAACAATAAAATTGCGTCCGCCCTGCATTTCCCTATCGCGGCGCGATTTTAATTTTCCCTCACGTACTCCATAAACTACGTGAACTATGTGGAAAACAAACAGATTGTTCCTTATCTCGAGATTTTTGCTAATTTGCATACGCGATATTGGGATTAATTATTACCGTCGCGTTGAAAGTATCTTAATTTAGTATCGAACGATGAAATTAAAAATTATATATTCGCCAATAATTTATTTACGAAATTCATTAACACGTTATTTGTCTAACGAGTTTTGCATGTTTTATACTAAGAGAAAAATTTTTAATTTTTGTGACTATAATTATGTTATCATTATTATTATTCTTGATATAACTAATTATTACTGATATCATTACTGATTAATTATGATTATTACTATAAGAATAATTATATATATTTGTTGATAGAATTAGGGGTAATATAGATATAATATAGACCAACGAATATATATATATATATATATATATATATATATATATATTTAATTATAATTGATAGTCATTTTTTGAACCAACTATAATATTGTTTCAAAGAATGTATGTATATGTGATTTGGTGATAGACCTATATTATATCTAATTCTAAAATAATTATTATTAATATTAAAGCAGTGTAATTATGGTAACATGTAATTATAGACACAAATATTAAACATTTTTCTTTCAGTATACTATTTGCACGCCACAATATAATTTTGTTTAGTATAGAATAGCAAATAACACAAATAGCTAGATAATTATTATTACCTAGCTATTTATGTCGTTTAAAAAATATACCATTCATATTCAATATTATATTACACGATATTTCATTGTTATATTTTCTGGTAATGAACACATTATGGCGTATACAGTAAGACACGTAAAACTCGTTAAGCAGACAATGTGTTAATGAATTTCGCGAATAAATTATTCGATGTCAAAATTATTCGATACTTAAAATTTCATATTATTATTAAATTTTACAATTACCTTTTACAAGCATTTCAAATAACTTCGATAAGCAACCACAAGATTGCCACTAAAGAATCACAGATAACTACCACAGCAACCAAAAGTAATAGGAGACAAACTGAGTATTGCAAACTGTTGTCAATAATTTTGATAATATCATTAAAGTGAGAGATCAATCAGTCGTTTTCACCACGACGATAACAAGTTCAAAGGTAGGAGCAATCGCCTTTGTTTTGACGCTCGCCCGACCAAACGCTTGTTTCTCTCCTTGACTCACAGTCGCACAGTCGCCTAGCCGTTTCGAACAAGTCTCATGGCACCATTGTCACGCTCCGGACGTTTCGAAGTTGGGATCGTTTCGCGTTTCGCACGTGTATTTCCCGTTGAGATCGAATCTCGCTTCGCGACTTGGCATTGACAATATCGAATAGAGAATGATCGTTGTATTTTTCATTGTGTTCCTCTTCGAAATACGTCTGTACGTACGAATTGTGATCGCGTCGATAGTACAATCAAGTGCTGGATCTTCCATGAATCGATTTCATAGGGAACTCAAATAACCGAAGCGTGATGATTTCGGATTTGATGTGCAGATCTACAACAGAACTAAGGCTAGACATCTCGGTGTCCGAGGCAAAAGAAAAAAAATAATAATCAAAAAAATTCTTTTACGACATGTAAAATATAACAAAAAATAATATTGGTCGCGAATGAATTAAAATATATAGAAATTTATATTGCCATTTTTGCGTCCCTTCCAAGCAAACACCAAGTACATGTAGTCTTAGTAATCTGTTAGTTATAATTCCCTATTCAACAATATAACTGTGATATAACACGTTTATATCATAGGTATATTAGTGGGGTATTATAACTAACAAGTACGTTACATGTAACTTTGAGTTTGCTGAGTTTAAATCTTTTACACACGGCAAGTTAGTCACATTCTAGTTTTCCAGCTCCGATATTGAGGACTTACAATTAAATGCGTTAATATGAAAAATTCATCATCGCACATGCAGAGAGCAGAATGAAAATGGCAAGCGGTAAGTAGCTTAGTTTTTACAAAATGGAGAAGAATCGTAATCAGATATAGTAAGAATTTACGAACGAGAATCGCAAAGCGAGCGGAAGGTATAAATAACTAATTCATCCCGCGGCTCTCTCGTTAATCCTTCGACAAATCCTAACTCTATTTTAGATCCTCGCTTTTTATCAAAATTATTGTACGTCGACGTTGTATTGCATTTTTCATAAACAAGCCTCTCTATCTGCAACGCAGATTAGCAGTGGCTGTATTATGGTTAAGCACTTAACGGTGTGCTTAACATGCAACTCTCGCCCCCGCCCACACCATTATCCGCTTCCTTTCATAGAAAAGCAGAAACGCCGGCTGACGCTGGAGTGTCCTCAGCTCGCGATTTTAAAATCCTTTTCAAACGTTACGATACACGTACTGAGAAGCTCGTCACGTGGTAGCGTAACGGATCTTAAAAAGCAGGAAAAATAGCAACGGCGCTTTAAGCGGATTCGTTCGTTCGAATGCCGCGTGGATATATACGCGTTTGTTCGCGGCGTTAAGTAGCGAAATACTTGCATTTTCCCAAACAATAACAATCGGGTGAATGGGGAATACGAACGACAAGCCGGATCCGATATTTGCAACCCGGAATGTTAATAACATTCGCATTAATCGCGCAGATCAGCAGAATTTGAGAAATTTTATTTAAAAACTGCAACGCAATCCGTGTCACATCATGTAAATCATTAGGCGGTAATTAACGGCGAAAGAGAAACGCAATCGCCGTGAAATGAAATCAATTATAGCTGTATAATTATTACAATTTGATAGCGTTCACGGCTTGAAATAATGATTACCCGTATATAATGATCAGCCGAGGAACTTTAATTATGTGCCAATTACAACGGCCGCGATAACGCGCCGGGGTTAGGACGCGATTTAAACTATGCAGTGGGAAATCCCCTCGTGGATTTTAATTTATTCCTTCCAGTGTGGACTGATGAATTCGTCCATGGCTGCCGGTCGCGGTGGAACAACGCTCATAAACATTAATCGAAATTACCGCGATAATGACACACCTGCCGTTAAAATCGCCATCCGAATCGCACGTATCTTTTAAAATTAAGCATCGACTCGTCCGATTGATAATTGACAAATACAATACGAGTATATGTGACCGTCCGCGTTGTCGATGGAAAATCGTTAAAGTCTGTAGCAGCGAAATCCGTTTGCAATTTTTTTTTGTGCCTTCAATGCCAAAATTTTGATATTTAAAACGTCAAGATTGAATGAGCGGCCTGATAGTACGATAGATTTTCTCGTTAAAAATATATCACTCATCTCTAAAAATACATTTATTTTTGCGTATTTATTATATCTTAGATACATATATCTTTATAGCTTACTTTGATCTAACTCTATTTCAAAGTAGGTGCCGTTTAAAATTAATTGAAGAACGATTTTGTTATCTGTCATCTTTACTAGAGCTTAATTTATCGGAAATTCTTTATTTTTGATATCTATTTAGAAACTATAAATGTCGCGTCATCTTCTTTTAAGAAAGATTAACGATAAAAGCGTCAAAAAAATTATCATTAAGAAAGTAAAAATAGAAGGCAAAAATAGAACACTCTGTTCAATATCTTTAATGCCTTCGCCTCGCCTCCGTCAGACGCCCGGCGTCTTTGCAGAACTTTTTACGCCGTTTTAAATATCTTCCTTGTATCGAATCAAATGGCTTTGAGCGAAGCTCGTCCGATAAAAAAAATAAGATCTCGCGACAAAAACGCGAAAACTTCGTTGTATGACGGGATCGCGCGGGGAAAGAGAAAAGTTAGCGGGTCGGCGCAAAACCGACGACGCGACATTGCGGCGACGGGGAAATCTCTGTTTTACGGGAATGGTAAAACAATCGGTTTTTCAGTCCGTTTCCTCAGTACAAACATTCGCCACATTTTATGTTTACAACAATTCCCGTAACGAGTATTTTATCTACCATGAAATTATTCTCACTATAATTCATCGGACGCATTTTTCAGATATTTTCATTCGTGCTTATTATTGTAGATGACACATATCGTAAACTGTATAATATAGCATTTCGAAAATCTGTCTGTCGGATTATTCACATGACTGTAAACGGCTGGCCGCGTCATAAAATATTCTTGCGAAATGCTGTGTACATAATAATACAACATTTTGCATGACCTACATTTTTTAATGACGTTACAAAAGCATTTATCTTGATGAATGGAATTTTATTCGCACTTTTTAATTCCAACACAATTTAATCTTCCGATTCGCATCTCTGAAACGGAAATTATCGCATTATCATCATCATTATTGCATACTAAATTCATTTACACGTACATTTTAATATGTAATATCAAAAGGTGAGAGAATTTATAATTTAGCGACATTAATACGATCAAATTCTCTGCTAAAATACTTTTGATACAGCTTAATATTATAAGCTCCCTTTTATCCGAAAACGGGAGGAGAGAAACGAATACGCATTCATTATAAGTATTCCTCTTTATTGTTCGTGAGGCGGATTGTGCATTTTTTTAAAGAAGATTAACGTAAAACAGCTCACACCGCCAATACCTGATTCGCCCATTTATTATCGATATGATTTTTTCGTTACAGCATCGACGCCAGGAACCGGGAATTTGGGGTCGCTGAAAGATGGTCGGACAACAGCGTATTCTCGAATCGCGCCTATTTCATGCTGGACAAGCAACCGGCGCAACTAGGCGTCGAGAACACGAGAGAAGAGGACGCCGGTATCTACAGGTGTCGTGTCGATTTTCAAATTGGCCAGACGAGAAACTCCAAAGTCAATTTAACGGTTATTGGTAAGGTTTATTTGAATTATTCATTTGCTCGATGAAAGGTAGATATGTAATATTAGACGTGTACACGGAGAGAATTTTCTTTTAAAATTTACCCTGAAAATATGGTAGTTGTAGCACAATATTTTGAAGATTTTTACTATGCACTTTAGTAAAATTAATCAAACTTATTTTATACTTTATTGCAGTTTTATTAATGAATGAGAGAGCTTTACATTAAAATTCTTCGAAATACAATGTTGTATTCCACAACTGTCATATTTTTAAGGTAAACTCTAAGAAAAAAATTCTCTCCGTGATAGATATATGTACATGGATAAATGTGTATAATAAATAGGATAGATATATGAGAAGTAGAGAGAAAATTTTATTGAAACTTAGAAAGCCATTTCTCAAATACGTAACACTATAACGTTGTTCTAAGCAATTTAACGTAATTATCAAAGTAACATCATTTACATGCGATTGCTCTTGTTATTCAATTAAGTTTAACCAATAAATTAGGCAGAATAGCTTCGTTTAGATTATACGCTCTTTTAGATATGAAGAAGTTTAATTGCATACAGTCACGTTTTACAGTGGATCGTAATGTAAATCCAAGATGTAAATTGGAAGGGTTTTGTATAACTGCATATACAATAAACATTAGTGTATTGCGGTTGGAACGAGCCAGACGTAAATTTGGCAATTTCCATCTTGGATTCGCGTTATTATTCGAAATGCAATGTCGCAGAAACTCTCTGCTCAGTTTCCTTATTCTTGTACGTAGTAATGAGAAAATGTTCAGAAAGATTGTTCCAAGTAGCCGGAGCCAATTGTAACTTTGCCAAAGCTTCTTCTTGTACATAATTACCGTTTTCATTAATACCCAATTAGCCGCTCGAACACGAACTACTCGACGTGTATTGCGATTATGCTAAAAATGACACAAAAGTTTTACGAGCTTCGTACAAGTACCGCCTTAAAGTTACGTGTCGCCGTACTTTCGCAACTTTACTCTTATAAAACCATCGTAAGGTATTGCGAGTGCTTAAGGCGGGAGTTATAAGGATCAACTTGAGACTCATTGCCCGAGGTCGGCGAAAGGAACCTTTACTGATATTAAAGCCATTTGATGTTTGAGAAAATATGGCAAGTGACCAACAGGTTGCAATCCAGTACATCGGCGATAATTACGTATTTGTCGCTTTTATATAACGTGATCTGATAAAATCCGATAAATCCGATTTATCGGACATACATATCGGTCAAGAAGATACTTGCATAATATATAATTTGAAATTATTATTGAAATATTATTGTTACTTTTATTTTTTGTAAAATTTCACTTCTTGAACGTTTCGACAAAATTCCGATTACTATCTTTTCATATAAAAAGGTTTAATTAAAATGCATGGATTTAAAATGTCATCTTGTCTACCTCAAGTTATCATAAGCTCTGGTAAAAATTTTAATTAGAGCAATTTTTAAAACTTATTTTTTTCAAATTATGTTTTAATATTACGCCTTATACTTCTGAACTACGTTTCTCGTTGTCGTTCGACGTGACGGGCATTTTCAGTGCGCCAACAAAAGAATCGTAAAACAGCAATTAAGCAACGTAATAAATTTGAAATAAAGTAAGCCACCATCGAGCGAGCATATACGGGAGTAGAGGAGAGAGAGAGAGAGAGAGAGAGAGAGGAGGAGGAGGGGGAGGGAGGGAAGGAAAGAGATAGAAGACAGAGGTCAAGAAGAGAAAAAGGAATCCAATTAACATCCTGTTGAAAAGTTATGAAAACGCCAACGGGATAGTACGCGTCACCTCGGGATTCGCCGTTGGCCGGCATGTGCCAAGGAATTTTTCCTGCGGGGTAATTAGCTCCCCTGGCCCCTCTGACTCGCCGACATTTCACACGTCCTTGCTACGAGCTTGCAGACACTCCAACCGTTGGTAAACCTTTTCCAGATGAACGCCAATTAACGTGCCTTTACTCTCATCGCGTTTTCACCAGTAAAATTGCACATCATTCTCTCGTCGGTTTCCTTTTTTTCCTTTAACAAAAGATGTTACAAAACAATTGGACGAATATATTCTTCTTTCGCGTCTGATGAAAAGTATAGAGAGAGGCTATTGAAATTCAGACCCATTTGATCCATTCAGATCCCATTTAAAGTTAATTGAAAAATGCTTTATCGCGAGCTTTTATTTTAGGCAAGTGCGCACTGTAGACTAAAGTGTCGATCGACTGTTGTGTCGTTTATGAAAAATAATGGGGAAAAAAAAGTGTGTCATACCTATGTATACGATTACAAACATTGTCGAGGACTTTTCATACAAAAGTCGACCGATATTTTATCCATATCATATGTGCCCTAAAAGAAAGACCGATATTCTTAGCCAGTTTTTATTTTATGATTGTCTTAAGTAATATCTTAAAATGTTAATACGATTCTGTGATTGACCTATATATGACATTTTAAGAGACTACACTTTAGCAGTTAAATATAAACATCGACTACGAATATCGGTCAAAAGCAGTAATATTGCTAAAAGTATATTAATGCACATGATCGCGATCGTCATCGTGTTGCGATGAAGAGAGTCTGCTCGCGAGATAAGTGAAAATGGGGACGCCGTTAAATGTTGCACTCGTGGAATTTAAATCGCTCTCCTTTACAGCCGTGTTCGCGTTCCATCACATATTTGCATGTCGCAACCGTCAAAGGCTCGAGCCTTTGCATCGGAACTGGCGAGGCGAGAACGAAGCAAGGATATATATTTGAATCAGATGTACTATCGCGACAATGTCAGAGAGAGTATAATGGATCAGGGAAAGATGGAAGCGACTCGACCATTAGTAGTGTGAATTTGCTTTCTTAAGATCACATATTTTGTATCCGGAGATATACGACAAAACAGATATATTAAAATTAAATTAAGTTTTTAGTAAACCCAAAAGTGGAAAAACATTTCTTTATCGAAAATACATTCAATATAAACATATTACAAGATTAAAGAAATATCATTTTATTTTTATTATTTAAAACATAGTATGAAAGAAAAAAACTTAAATAAGCATATATTAGGTGTTAAACTTAATTCCTGCCGTTTTTCGTCTCCAAAATTGATTTGTTTCGAAGGGAAGATGAATGAATACCTCAATCGAAGTAATTTCCTCCATTTTCTACTTTATTACTAATTAATAATACTTTATTAATAATACTTTGATTAAGGTATTTCCCTTCGAAACAAATCAATTTTGGAGACGAAAAACGGCAGGAATTAAGTTTAACACCTAATAATTAAATAATGTTATAATAAACAATAATATATCGTTCTTCTCTTTATTTAAAAAATGGCACAACAATAAAATTAAGTTTTCTAGAAAAGGGGAAAAAACATTATTCAATTTGATAAAAAATTATTAACTGATCACGTAATATCGCACAAAAAGAATGTATTCTTAATATAATCAAGTGTTATTTTTATCATTTTTGTTTTATTATCTTTTTTGAGTTGTGACTTCTGTAAACTATTCTTTTTATTATGATGATTTCGACGATTTGTTATGAAATGTTAGTTTATTTGTTATGATTGATAAAATTATTTATTTTAAATTGGAATATAACCAATCGTACACTGTATTGTATAATGTAGATATTCGCTTTAATCCAATACACAAGATTATTTCGAAGTCTTCTTATCGACGCCACAGACGTTCGTAAATATCCAACCTGTCATATTTTTCGCCGAGAACACCGGTGGCTGTATCGCGACGGACTGCCTGAGTTACCGTATCGAGGAACTTTGTGTTTGACAGTGGTTTCCAACAAAAAAATAAAGAGAATAAAGGAGGGTGAAAAGTTTTGTACAGACGGGAAGCAGACCTTTGACCCGACGTTAAAGCTTTGGTAAACGAGAGCATTTATCGTAGCAAGACGCTGCGTCCCCTTTCGGTCGAACAAGAAATACAAGGTATTCCAGTTCCGAAAGTATAGAATGTAATTCGATAAATTTTCCGCGCGGTACCGGCGATTTCACGAGGTCCATACTTCGCAATTCTGTCAGCCAATATTGACATTTCAATGTGGGTAACGCGCGCGCAAGTACACATAAATTTTGTGTATTTTATAATTTTGCAGAATAATAATGATACACGTTATCGGAAAACATTTGCAATTATTTCGTTGCATATTATTTAATATAATTATTGAATTAATGTTTTTCGGCTATTAATTACTGCAGGCGTAACGATGTTCATAATTTAATTATCGTGTAATGAAACAAAACGGTTTCCAATCCCATATTTAATTTTAATAAAATTTAGATTACGAACAATTAAAAAATTTTATATTGCAATAAAAAAAGATAATAGCTTCAATATGGTCCCAAAGCGGTACCTAAAGCCCGCTCAACTCGGTATCTATATCAGTTCTCGTTTAGAAGCAGAGATATTATATCATGCTTTAGGATTTCATAAAATACGGGCGAACTGAAGATAAGGTGGTTCCCGAGTAACCAACCAGGGGAACCAGAAATCGGTGTAAAAACTCTAAAGAAATGGCGGTTCTTCGCATTAAGACTTCCTCGAAGTCGAGCTACAGAAAACGAGCGCATTTATCTTCTCAAACCGTTGTTTCTTTAAAGTAAGGAAGGGATGGAATGGCAAAAGCTGCGCGAGTAGAGATTTTTTGTTACGGAAAGGACAATACATAACTGGGTAATACCCACGTCTGCGCGGACCTACCATCGTTCGCTTTTGTCGATCTAACTTTGTAATCGCGATAATCGAAGTCCCACAGTAAAGGCAAACGAACTATCTGCCGCTTTTCTCGGGATGAGAACGTAGTTCCGTTTCGTAAAGCATTTCTATTCCATCTGTAAAACAACAGATAATATAACATTCTCCCATGTGCATAGCATGTGACATTGTCTCACTTCACGTCTCTTCACACTATCTGATATCGTTGAGTCATGGAAACTCCATTTTCAACACGCGACAACACATCGTCGTTGCGCA